CTCTTCTTGCGCCTCCAAGGAGAGGGGGAGGGGGATATAGTAGCCCCATAGCCCCCTGATCTGCAGAAATGCACTATTTCCTCCCCCATGGCTCTTATAAAGAAGGCCATTGCATTTGGAAATAACTGGACAGACCGGGGATTGACAACATTACCGCTTTGCAACTCGTCATCTTCCTCGTCCTCTTGAGCATTATCGGCACAATCACGCCTAGCTCGATGAACCCCCTTGAACCATAGGTCTCGGGCAGCGCCATGTGCAGGATTAGGCTCTGCTCACCGCTCTGCAACTCGTCATCTTCCTCGTCCCCTTGAGCATTATCGGCAGAATCACGCCTAGCTCGATGAACCCCCTTGAACCATAGGTCTCGGGGTGTGCCATGTGCAGGATTAGGCTCTGCTCGCCGCTCTGCAACTTGTCATCTTCCTTTGCCCCTTGAGCATTATCGGCACAATCGTGCCTAGCTCGATGAACCCCTTTGAACCCATTTGAACCATAGGTTTCGAGGTGCGCCATGTGTGGGATTAGGCTTTGCTTGCCATTCCCGTTTTAAAGCATAGAATGGCCAGTGGACTCCAAAATGGCCGCTGAGGCTGGCACGGGCTCTGTAAATGCTGCGGGGTTGCGCAGCTGTTTGGCGCGCTTTGGAATGCCATCCATGCCTTGCTCTGCTGATTGTGTGTCGGCCATCGCCACAGCCTCTATCTCCGGAGTGGAGAGAAATCCATTGCTATCCTCTCTTAATGCCATGGAAGGCAGTCTGTGAGATCCCCCTCCCATTAAGAGAGCAACCGGCCCGGCAATGCTCAACCTCCAAAGGGGGGGGGGGAGAAAAGAGGATAACATATAGGAAGGAAGAAGAAAAGGATTTGATTTTTCTTAAGTTTCTTCAGAGAGTGGGAACAGCAAAGATGGAAGGAGAAAGTGAAAGTAAGTTAACTCAGAAAGATAGGGTTAGGCAGAGCCTACACCTAGCTGCTCTCCCTTCTGAGGCAGGAAAAGAACTGAGCCTAGGGTGACTCCCACTACAGGAAACAGGAAGTAATTGAAATTAGTCCTGCCTACCTAAGTGATGGATGGGAATCACCCACAAGATGTCCTCCACCTCAGAGGGGGAACTTGTTTCCTAATTACTTGGTATAGGCACACATGTGTACTTCAAGCTTCTCCAGTATTTCAAATGGCATCCAAAGATACTCCTAACTGCTCTCAATTAGAGCCAGGTTTAAAAACCCAACTTACAGTGCATGGGAAAAACTAAAATGCTTCCTCAAATTAAGAAATATACTTACCACTGGGTTACGTTTTTCTCCCTGCTACTTCTTCCCTGAGCTTTCGAAGCCAACATTCTGTGTAAAGCAAAGTGATACAAGCTTAGTCAGAACCTTAGGCATCTAAAGCAACTTGCTCCTCTCCATTCATTCCTATTAAAATTTTCTTGAAGGTTCAAAATGCTGTGAAACTTTTTAAACCCCAGATATGACTAATATAATTATAAAAATCAAAACTCTTGGGAAATATCAGCTAAACACTCGTCCTTCATCCTAGGTATATACTCATTTTAAATACAAAGTCAGACATTTCTCCAGTTCTCCAAGTGCAGTTAACCATCTGGCATACAACAGCAGTGTTCACTCTGTATGATACTGGAGGCATCCATTTGAAAAGCAAAAAAATATGAAATTAATGGAGCGTGACACAATTACATTTCAACCGTGCATGTGCCATTCTAGTTAAATTTGTACTGCGGTTCTCCTCACCAAGTTTGGAAAAAGCAAATCACCACAGCCTCAAGAAACAATTTATAATATACACAATGATAAAACATTCCTTCTACTACCTTCAGCTAAAATTGCCTCTTTTAAACTAAAGATTACAAAATTATGTTTTAGTGCATTTAAAAGGTTTAATACAGCTATAGCTGAGAGCAGAAATAATCAGAGGGGTCAACCTAAACAGTTTTAATTTTTTTTTTTACAATCAGATTAGATAAAATTATCTACAGTTCTAGAACACAACTTCTCTGTATGAGGCAGATGGTGCCTGTCATCTGTTTTTAATCTAATGAAAAGACAAGCCTGAGGGGGGGAAAGTGTTACAAGCCAGCCAAAGTAACCTTCAATCTATATTTCATGCTTTTAAGGAACAAAACACGTATGACATTCTTTAAGAACTGCTATACAACAAACCTGCACAATATGCATTTAAAAGTCACACAAACACACAAAGTATTATAATATGGAGCACAGCACTGGTTTGATCATGACTAAACAATTATAGCTGGGTTATTAATCTAGTTCATCTATCCAACCTCGTAAAATTATAGCTGCAATTATGTATACGGCATTCAGCTAAATCTTGTCTAGGTATTTACTCCTTTTATGGATGTTTCATTAATAGAAGCCTTACAATACTTTAGGAAGCTTTACATTTAATTTCTCATTAAAAAAACATACTAATCTAATTTTATCACTGAGAGAATGTGACAATACACTCCAGACTAAACTTGAATATTAATATTCATGCCTCCCTCCTCATCCAAACTATCTAACAAGCAAAGCTGGTTCTCAGAAAAAAACACACAAGAAAACATGTTCTGCATTATTTAATACTCCCATATTATAAATATGGTCCTTGTCCATGTAGGGATCAACCACACGGCATAATAGAGCCCTATTTCTCCCTCCCCCTTCGAGCCTGTACACAGATAGTACACCATGATATCAAAAATACATCCTTGGCAGGGAGGCAGAGAATAAAGATACGAAAGACACACAAATATCCCATTTGCCATCTCCCCTCTCTTGACGGGGTCCCATTAACAGAAGGACCATTCGTGAAGAGTTTGGGAGTGATCCTGGATGCCTCCCTTTCAATGGAGGCCTAGGTCCCAAAGGTGGTTAAAGCTGGTGTTTTACCATCTTCGTCAGGTTAAACAGTTGGCCCCATACCTGTCACCCTCTGACCTAGCCATGGAGATCCATGCAACAGTCAACTCTAGGCTACATTACTGCAGCTCACTCTACATAGGGCTTCCCTTGAAGTTGATCTGGAAAATGCAACTAGAACAGAATGCAGCTGTGAGGGTACTGATAGGAACACCCTTTAGAGCACATATCCAACTGGTGCTCCATCAGCTGCACTGGCTCCAGACTGAGGACCAGAGCAAGTGCAAAGTTCTGGTGCTGACCTTCAAAGCCCGTAACATTCAGGGACCAGCATAACTTTGGGACTGCATGTCCTGCTACATGCCCTGTAGAGCATTACATTTAAGTGACCAAAATCTGCTGGTGGTCCTCTGGCCAAAGAGCATCTGGCTGCCCTCAACCAGGGCCAGGTGGAACACTCTTCCAGGAGAGATCAGGGCCCTGCAGGATCTGGTACAATCCCACAGGGCCTGTAAAACAGAGTTGTTCCACTGGGCCTATGATTGAAGGCAATACTTGGCCCTTAGCTGATACAGCTAGTTGCTGGCCTCCCCCCTGCTTCCCCTCTTTCTTCCATTCTTAATATCCGCATAAAAACCCCTGTATGAGTTTTTACACCATATTGAATTTTATATAAGTTGTTTTATTGATTTTACTGTATTTATGGTCTGATAAATTGTATTTTAGAAGGTTTAAATTGTATATTCATAAGTTGTCACCCACTCTGAGCCAGGCTTGGGGACAGCGGGATATAAACTTAATAAAATAAATGAATAAATTTCTCGTGAATGTCTGGGTGCAAGAGATTGCTTAAAATATACATAGTTTATGTATGCAATACATTTTATTACCACTAATCAAGGTATAAAGTGCAAACTTTCCAATTCTCCATTGTTTTTCTTAATGCTGGATATTAAAATACAAAATAAAGTCAGCTTCTAAGCAAGCTGAAGAATAGTTCAGCTTGGGACTGTGGTGTTAGGGGATGTTACCATCCACCCCCAGACCATTTTCCTGGACCTTGTCTGCCACATGCAGGATTCAGGAAGTCTGACCTAGCATGCCAGATGTAAAGCCTAGTTCAGAGTACATTCTAATTAAGGATACTGGAGAACTCAAAAGTTTGTAATATATTAATGTTATTACCAACTAAAATATCTCTTTCAAAATACTCCACAGAGAATATGATTGCTAGAGCTGCAAAATGGAGCTAGGGATAGACCAGGAGGTTTTCTCTAAAAAAACAGAAAAAAGTGACAAGAGTTGCAGAAAATCTGAATTCTAAACAAAAAACACATAGGAGATATAAACTCCTCCAAATAACAGAAACAACACCTGTATCTATAGGAAAAGAAAGTCCAAGGAACTATGTGACAATGTTTGCTAGGCAACCACAATAATATTGTCAAACTGTGCAAGACTCAGTTTCTATAAAGCAAAACTGTGGCGCGGGAAGAAGTGAACCTGGAGACAAACAATCCTGGGAAAAGTCCTGCCCCCTTCCCATCATATCCCTAATGGAGGAGACCTCACTAGGGACAGGCCCAGCAGATTCTACTGGAAACTCATACCATGCAACTTCACCTGGCTTGCCAGCAGCCACCATACAACTCAGCCCAGCCACTGAACTGCCTGGTTCACCGCAGCCCCCATGC